CATACATACATACATACATACATACATACATACATACATACATACATACATACATACATACATACATACATACATACATACATACATACATACATACATACATACATACATACATACATACATACATACATACATACATACATACATACATACATACATACATACATACATACATACATACATACATACATACATACATACATACATACATACATACATACATACATACATATATATATATATATATATATGTAAAGGCTTTATAAACCCTTCCCACACTTTTGCAATGTTCTAAACTCTTTCACCTATGTAATATTAACAACATACGTATATGTATTGTACAGTACAGTAAATTATGGGTACTCACCAGTGAAGATACTACTACAACTTGAAGGATGAGTTCAGCTTCAGGATTATTTGTGACTTTCCTGCCAGTTCTGTGAGCTGAACAGACAGATCGTTACTTCTGACTATTTTTTACCACATTGGTTTATCCACTAGTGTTGGTTCCCTCCATTGCTGTTCTTTGAATTTTAGCAGAAAGCAGCGGTCAGAAGCACTGTTGGCTTCTGGGCCGTACTTCTTTTGACCTGCGTTACAGTTTAGGCTCACTGAAAGAAAACTACAAAATGGCAGCGCCTGTCTGAAGTTTTTTTTTTTTTTAACCAGTGAACTATTTATGCTGTACGCTGTCCCGTATCTCAATCACGTGAGTAATATTAAAGTTGACAATCGTGTGTTGTGTACAATCCTACGTTGAAAAACCGTGAAAGAGTGAGGCCATGAATGTCGAACCGCGAAGTATCGAGAGAATACCGTATGCCACTGAGTCCTACATTGTGATAAAAAGACAAACTGCTGGATAGCTAGTAATATCAGTTTTAACACCAGCCATAAAACTGATGAAAGGTGAGCACATATTTTGACCTCCTCTGCTGTATTCCCTGAAACCTACCAGGAGTTTGTATATTGCATCACTCAGGGATTTGTATATGTAACATAAACTAGTGCGGGGGGGGGGGGGTCCATGAAAGTAATGCCCCTCACTTTTCCTCTGCCAGTTTTCTGTCCTTCCTGCTCCTCTATTCTTTTATAAAATGTCTGCTCATCTGAGCAGGTGTTTGTGTTCTCATGTAAAAAAGCACGCCTTAGCACACTCACACACACACACATGTATTTTCTTTCTCCCTCGCTCGCTCACGTACACAAAAATGCATGGTTATGTCCACGAACACACACGCACACTGACGTGCACGGAGCTACACGCACACAGACAGTCATCTGTGCCCTTCCCACAGCTCGTAGCACAAAAACAGAACACACTGCCTGTCCCTACTTTACACACACATGTGCACACACAAACTCTGCAAAAAGCTCTCTGCACACTCTTAAAGAGACACGATGCAGATTTACACGTCACCGTCAAGAGCAACCACCATCACTGGACATGAATACTTACGTGAGCAAGAGGTACTTTGCCGTTTATGAGTGAAAGTGTGCAAAAATATAAATGAATCAAAAAGTAAAACTGTCAAATGTGTCTTTCGTATTGTCATGAATTGTTTGGTATTGGCTGTTAGCAGCTTAATTAATGATGCGTTATAAAATGTTCCCTCAAAAATCACATTTAGAGCTTAGATTTAACATATGAAAATATTAAATAGACTCAAGGGCATAAAAGTCAAATTGACCGGTTATTGTGGACTTATTAAAAGTACTGTGTTAGTAAATATCTGTGTATTTCACCAAACTTCAATTAAAAACCGACTTCAGTTGTTTAAATGTAACTGATGAAGGAAAGCTGACGGGAATCAGATGAAATTCTGCAAAAGCACAGAAAGCCATAAAGGGAGCTAAAAGCTTTAGCAACATTTTTTTTAAAAAATAAACTAAAGTTCAAAACAGACGTTTTCTCATCTTCACTTACCTGCAGGAGATGCTAAAATGTCTTGTACTTTAAGAGCACCTGCTGGACACACCTTTGACCTCATCTGGCCTCTTAAAAGGTGAGCAAATGACACTTAATCAGATGAGCAAACAACAAACGGAGACTAAATGAGTGAGGAAATATAAAATTAAAGCCGTTGTTTCCATTTAAACAGCGGACTACATTATTTATAACCTTCGGTACTCTATAAGCACCAGTTTGGGAGCCATTTGCCTCATTAAAAAAATACTTGGCCTCTTTTTAGTGGTGCGATAACTGAATTAGGTAACGTAAGAATACTAGTCATCATTGTGCACGGACTGTTTGAGGCGATGCAGGGACAAACAAAATTGGACGTTTCATTTTCTGTGGTCTATTTCAGAGTTATGCATTATGAAAAATGCAATTTTGCAGACTGAACCCACTTTGCTGATACACACAGACCAACAAAGGTGCAACAAAAACACAAAAATGACAAAAAAATCATGCACATATATCCATATAATTGCTCTTACATAGTGCTATGTTGTGTTGTTTATTTGTCATTAACACAAGGTCAACAGTGCAATGAAATGTTCAGGATGAGAAGAACAAATGTGACGCGCTAAAAACAAAAAACAAGAGATGCTAAAGCATGCAATAAGGGTACAAAATAAAGTACCAGTTTTGCTTTAGTATTTTTTTTGTATTAATGTGTATAAATACACATACACTTTATGATTGTCTTGTTGTCATCACTCTGTTAAAATCATGTCTCTCTTGTAAATGAGTCCCTGTGATTCATAACCTGTGTAAATAAAGGTTGAATGAATTAATAAATACACATTTTGTTTATTAATTTTACTTGTGAAGACAAACGCAACGTGAGGCCTGAACTCCCTGGCCAAGAAATACTAAAACATGCAATAAGGGTACATAATAAAGTGCCAATTTTATTGTACCCTTATTGCATGTTTTAGTATTTTTTTGTATTAATGTGTATAAATACATGTTTTATTAATTTTACCTGTGAAGACAAACGCAACGCGAGACCTGATCTTGAAAGCCCCCCTGGCCAAGAAATACTAAAACATGCAATAAGTGTAGAAAATAAAGTACCTATTTTCTACCCTTATTGCATGCTTTAGTATTTTTTTTGTATTAATATGTATAAATACATATTTTGTTTATTAATTTTAACTGTGAAGACAAATGCAACGTGAGGCCTGAACTTGAAGGCCCCCCCTGGCCAAGAAAACTTGAACTTGAGCGAAGTTTGCTAAAATTGGGACACTGTCGCTTTAAGAAGCCCCCACCGCCTCACAACGGGGGGAGTGTGAGCTGAATCCAGGAACAGCGATTGAAAAAAAAAAAAAAAAAAGAAAAAAAGCTCCACCACTGGACTGTTTCAAGTTCCCCCCTCGACTGAAACCCTGCCTGATTTGTGGGCAATGTTGGGGATGTAGAAAAAAAAAAAAAAAAAAAAAGGAAACCGGAGCGAAGAGAGCGCACGAAGAGAGAGACAGGGAGACAACACTAACCGGGTAGCTATGGAGATAGTAGGCTTTCCTGGCTGCTTTCTTTGACAGGTGCCGAGCGGGATAAAATAAAGTAGCACAACCGCCTCCAACATGTACGGCAAGGGGAAAGGAGCTGTGGTCCCCTCCGACAGCCAGGCAAGAGAAAAGTAAGTGACTTCTCGCAGTGTCACAACAGATGAAGTGTGCTACTTGCTAACTGATGAAGCACTTCAGAGGCGCGCGCGAGCCTCCTCTTTGAACGCACCGGCGGCTGAAAGTTGACTCGGGACACTTCAGCTTGTTTTTGCAACTTGCTCCGACACACGCACGTCTGACGAGTGAAGTTAGCTCAGGCAGCTAGCTTGTGACCACTTGGTGCGCGTCTTGTTTCTTTCCAGACTCGGCTGGTCACTCAGAGTCGCACCACTTCGTTTATTGACTTGTTTTAGCTAACGGGGGGGAGGGCTGACCGGATTTTAACGGTGGGGGCTCCCGGTGCCCTCTCGCCTCCGTCGTGTGGAACAATGCACTCCGGAGCGACGCTTTGTGTTGTGGCTGGCTTTTGTGTCGCTCCGCTGTTTGAGCAGCCGGTGAAAATAGTTTACAGCTGTGCTTCTAGGGAGCCGGTGGTGCTGGTGGTGCTGGTGGTGCCCACAAACTAACTCGGCTCTTGTGAGCCTGAGCGGACTGGTGGTGTCCCGGCTGCTCTGTAACTTCACCCCGGAAGCAGCATCACTGCCTCCTGCTAGCTCCCACTTCTCCCAGCTGCAGCCCGGAGTGGGTGCTGTGCCCCCCTCCAGCCTCTTTGTGTGCGCGCCCCTGTTGTTCCCTCCCACGGCTGCTGACCCCGGAACAAGCTGCACATCTACTGTTAATAATGCTCATCATTTTACAAACACCAGCAAAGCACTGCTGAGTGAAGCTGCTGGTCACAGCTTCAGCATGTGTTGAACTTTGTTGGATTCGACTCTTGACTCTCTTAACTTCCACACAACATCATCATCATCATCATCGTCAGCCCCCTCACCTGGAGACGGTCTGACCTGAGGGTCTGCACCCAGACCAGCAGGCGCCCCGTTATTCTAGCTCGCTCTGCAAACTTTCCTTTTGCGTCTTCTCTCCCCAAACGTCTCGCTTCATCTCACTTGCTGCTCCCCGTCCCTCACTGCGGCGTTGAATTATTGAGACGGACGAAGCAGCTGCTCTCGGCTTTGCCTCAGCGTTGAGACGTAAAGGAGACGTGGTGGGGCAGACTCATATATGTTTAAAGAGGAGGGGGGAGCCTCAGGCAGGATGTCAGGTGTACTGACGGTGCACGCCAGGGAAATGTCCCACTAATGTCCCCCCCATCCTAGGATGTCTAGCAGGGAGGTCACGGGGTCACCTCACATGCTTTTGTTTAAATATTCTAGATGCCACTTCTCTTTATCTCCCCACTGTCCTGTTTCTCGTCTCTGGGCTCCCAGTACCACCTGCCGTCTCTTCCTCTGTCTCAACTTGGAGCGCTCCCCTGAAAGTGAATCCCTCTCCTCCCCGCTCCCGTTGTGCCTCCGCTCCTCGAACTTCTCCTTCTTTCCAACGAGCTGAGCTTTAATAATGCAGCGGGCCAGGTGCACGCACAAGCAGCCCCCGTTACAATCCACACACACACACAAAAAAAACGCACGCATCTAATTTTCATTGACGGCTTGGTGTGGTGGGAGACATCAGGAGACATCTGCAGCACCACGCTGTCCTGAGACATTTCCTGCTCTGAGTGAAACTTCTCTTTAAGGGACGCACGTGTATTGGACAGTGCAGAGTGCAGGCCAGTGGGAGCAGTGGTTTGTGCTGGTTGTTAAAGCTTCCTGTGAGCCTTCGCCAGAAAATCCTGAAATCAGTTTAGATCTCGAGGTGTTTAAATGAGATCGGCAGGGGGTGATGTTGCAGGTGTAAGATGCTCCGTGCCAGGTACTTTCTATGTGTGTGTGTGTGTGTGTGTGGGCCAGACTGACCTGCAAGTGGTGGCGATTTACACTCTACACCAGCGGTCAAAGAGAGCTTTGTGACCTACAAATTGCTGGAAACCTCAGAAAGTGGTCAGATTCCCCTGGCTGAAGTGGTCAAGTGCTTGTGTGTCTCCGCAGCAGTGGAGTCTTTAGCCTCCTGAGCTTGTTGGCCCGAAACACGGCAAATATTTTCACCCATTTGTCTGTGTGGACAGGGGTGTCCAAACGTTGTCATATGTGGGCCAAATCTATCCGGATGAAAGGACTCCAAAATGTGAATTTTACTCTCACGTGAACAATGTTTAGGAGAAAAGCTTATTCGTTTTGGCGGAGAACGTTTTAAATTGTTGTAAATCCAAAATGTTAAAAGCCTCAAACACTTTATATCAAGTCAAGTCACATTTATTTATACAGCACATTTAAAACAGTGACTGTTATCAAAGTGCTTACCAAAAACGATCACAGCATCAAATATTAATAACTTATTACAGTAACATGAGTAAAAGCATAAAAACATTAAATATATGAGAAACAATGAAATACTGAATCAAATCACCCTGCGTTAAATGTCAGGGAGTAAAAGCAAAATGGATGAACACAATCATCAACAACGAAATACCAAATGAGGTCACACTGTGTTAAATGCCAATGAGTACAGATGTGTCAGTGAGTACAGATGTGTCAGTGAGTACAGATGTGTTTTGAGGAGAGATTTAAAAATAGAGACTGAGGTGGCCTGTCCAATGTTGATGGGCAGATTATTGCAGAGTTTAGGGCCCATGACTGAAAACGCCCGATCTCCTCTGAGCTTCAGCTGGTTTTTGGTACGGCCAAAAGCAGCTGGTCTGATGATCTCAAGGCCCGAGAAGGAGAATAAGGATGAAGGAGGTCGGAGAGGTATGAGGGTGCAAGGCTGTTAATGCACTTCAATGTCAGCAGAAGAATCTTAAAATCAACTCTGACACACACAGGAAGCCAGTGAAGGGAGGACAGAACTGGAGTAATGTGCTCAAACCTGCAAGTTCCTGTTAGTAGCCGAGCATTTTGGACGAGCTGGAGACGTGAGAGAGAGACCTGACTGACCCCAGCATAAAGCGAGTTACAGTAGTCCAGCTGGGTTGTAATAAATGCATGGACTAATTTTTCAAGGTCGGATCTGGACAGGACGGACTTGAGCTTAGCTATCTGCCTTAGCTGAAAGAAGCTGTTTTGAAGAACAGAGTTTATCTGCTTATTAAACAAAGTCCGAGTCTAAAACTATCCCGAGATTGGTAACAGACTGTTTTAGATATGGCTGAAGGGAGTCCAGGTTTGCAGGATCAGTGACAGTGGCAGAGCTAGGGTTAAACACAATGACCTCAGTCTTCTGATCATTAAAACGCAAAAAGTTCGCAGCCATCCAAGTCTTGATGTCATCAAGACATTTTAACAAAGGGCAAATGGAGGAGGAACTGTTAGGTGTTAACGGCAGATAAATCTGAGAGTCATCAGCATAACAATGAAAGGAATTACCATGTTTCCTCAGGATAGACCCTAAGGGGAGGAGATACAAAGAAAATAGAAGGGGTCCAAGAATGGAGCCTTGCGGGACCCCGCAGGAAAGAGGCACTGAAGTAGATAGAGTGTTAGCAAAATTAACACAAACTCCTGTCGCTCAGGTATGAATGGAACCATTCTAACGCTGCACCTGTAATCCCAACCCAGTGTTGTAGCTGGGATAAAAGGATACTGTGGTCCACAGTATTAAATGCAGCGGTAAGATCAAGGAGTACCAGGACTACAGACTGAGCAGAGTCATTTGCCAGAAGAATGTCGTTGCAGACCCTAACTAAGGCTGTTTCGGTGCTGTGTACTTTCTTAAAGCCAGACTGAAAGATCTCAAGAATAGAATTTCCACTAAAGAACTTGTTTAATTGAGTGAAAACTATTTTCTCCAGGATCGTAGAAAGAAAGGGAAGTTTGGAGATGGGTCTGAAGTTTGAGCAGGTTGAAGGGTCAAGTCCGGGTTTTTTTATTAAAGGAGTTACCACTGCATGTTTAAAAGTGTCAGGAACCACACCTGTAGCCATACTGCTGTTTATAATGTCAAGAACAGAGGGTCCGATGGAGGGTAGGGCTTGTTTAAAAAACGATGCAGGGATGGGGTCAGCAGGGGAACCTGAGGGTTTCATTTGACCAATGACGTCATTTAGAATATGTTCATGTTATATGTTTTATTTAAAAGGATTTGATTTATGTAGTCTATGTTTGTTGTTTTGTGTTTGGAAAGTTCATTTTAGTCTGTTCTCAACAAAAGTGTAATTTGAGTAAGTGTACTTTTAAAAGGAGGTCGATCAGCCTTTTGGACCATGGACGGCCCAAAAGACTGAGCAAAGTTATGAAAAATCGCCCGGCTCTCAGTCACTACAACAGATTCATGGAAGGTTTGATAAAGTTGATCAACTCGTATGTAGATGATACCACGTTATATATTCATTTCAAGATGTCCAGTTTCCCTCTTGATTATTTTATCAACTGCAATATTTAGACAAGTTTTATGAATCTTTCTCCAAAAGTCTCCTGTCTGGTAGAATTCAGTAAAGATTTGAGGTGCTTTGTACCATGACGTGAAAAAAAAAAAAAGACTAGCCAAAGCTTTGTATTTTACTTAATATTGCTCATTTTGACAAGTTTGTTTTTCATCTGTGCCAATGAATTTGCAGAAAGTCTGCATCGACCTCTTAAGCCTGTTGGTTCAAATGAAACCATTCTTAAACTGCAGTTGTGGGCCACACAGGATCACTCCAAGGGCCGCAAATGGCCCTCGGACCGCAATTTGGACACCCGTGATTTGAGTGAAGCTGGTTGTTGAATTTATCGCTTTTGTCTTTGGGAATGATAAATTTATATTATTTAGTGTATGGTGTTGTGGACAGTTAGAGTCCATATTCATTGTTTATCTACATGTTTGATTTTTATCTGTTTTCTTTGGTGATTGTGTACACGAAGGGGCCACCCTCAGCTATTTATGGCCTCAGCAGGACAGCCCACTGTACACGTACAGAAAGATTTGCTCCACACGTTTTCTCCAAAACACTAAAAGCTACAAATGTTTAACCTTGACTGACCCATTTTTACCAGAAGCCCGTTGTCTAAAGTGAAAATAAGACTGCGTTCTCTTACACTCATGTTTACTTCAG